TTCCAGAGGTCCTGAGTTCAATTCCCAGCACCCACATGGTGGCTTTCAATCATCTCTAGTGAGATCTGTTGCCCTCTTCTGGCCTGCAGGCCTATACATAATAAATAAAAAGAGAAAAACTGGGCTATGGTGTCACCACCCTCTCAGGTCCCTGCTCTTACACTTGCTTTTTCCTTGCAGACCAATGGGGAGATGAGAAAGAACCATCGGCTGGTAAGACGGCTATGGGACTGAGGTGTGGAAGTCTGGCAGGAAGCAGGCCCCTCACTGACCACACTGACCACCTCCCTCTCCCCTTGGGCAGAAAATTGGCTTCTTTAACCAGCAGTACGCAGAGCAGCTGCACATGGAGGAGACGCCCACCGAGTACTTGCAGCGGAGCTTCAACCTACCCTACCAGGATGCCCGGAAGTGCCTGGGACGCTTTGGCCTGGAGAGCCATGCCCACACCATCCAGATCTGCAAACTCTCTGGTAGACTTCATGGACTCTCCCTGGAGACTGGGAGGAAGAGCCCCCATAACCTGAGAACGTAGAGAATATGGCTTCTGCAGGCTGGTGACAGGAGTCTGAATATACCTCTCCTTTTGTGATAGGTGGGCAGAAAGCCCGAGTCGTATTTGCTGAGCTGGCCTGTCGGGAGCCTGATGTCCTCATCTTGGTGAGTGAGCCAGGCACAGGAAAAGGGCTTGAAACTAAGAGCTCCAAACAGGTGCTGCGGTGCTCTGCCATGGGCCTCTTTTTCTCCACAGGATGAACCAACCAATAACTTGGACATAGAGTCTATTGATGCCCTGGGGGAGGCCATCAACGAGTACAAGGGAGGTAAGTCTGCTGCGGGGAGGAGGAGCAGCTGAAGAGATGTGGACTGGGGCTCTCCTTCTCCACGATTGATTCCCCTCTCCTGCCCTGTTTTTATCATCTTTCTCCAAAGCTGTGATCGTTGTTAGCCACGATGCCAGACTCATCACGGAAACCAATTGCCAGTTGTGGGTGGTGGAGGAGCAGAGCGTCAGTCAAATCGATGGTGACTTCGATGACTACAAGCGAGAGGTGTTGGAGGCCCTGGGTGAAGTCATGGTCAATAGGCCTCGGGATTGAGCTCCCCTCCTGGAAGCCTCTGAGACAAGCTCCTGTGGCTGGAATCTCTGCCATCCCCCTTTATCCACCCAGACGCCTGCTGTGTCTACTGCCAACTCAGCCACATGGGCCATGAAGGTGGAGTGTTCCCTTGATGTGTGTGACAGGATCCGTGTGGATTGTGTCCTTCCCACCAAAGGACTGTGTTCCCCTTCAGATAACTGAGCTGGCTTATCCTCAGCATCTTTTTCAGGCAGGGCTGACCTTTGCTATGGTCGATTCCCCTTAAGCCAAGTTAAGATGGCCTCTGCTCTCAAGACTCTGGCCACTCAGGGCTGACTCTTTCTGGTCCCTCGTTTTGGAAGGGTCCCGACTCACTGACACAAACAGCCAGAACCACAGCATGGCTGGAGGCCAGTGTCCAGGACCTGTTGTGTCACCAACCCAAGATCTGGTGCCTGTGGCCTCTTGTCTGATGGGGACTTGAGGGCAGGAAAGAAGTTGCTGAACTGAAATCTTTCAGAAGGGGTGAATAAAGGAGTGGGGTGCTGATGTTCTGTCCCTGTGTGGAGTTTTCCTCAGCTTTTGGTGTCCCCTCCCCTGCCCTTGTATCCTTAGGGAAGGGGAAATGACCGAGGTGATGATCTAAGACCAACAACAAACCATGTTGGGATAGGGTGCACACCTGTAATTCCAGCACCCAGGAGGTAGAGGGAGGCCCTCGTTGGCTACATGGTGAATTTGAAGCAAACCTTGGCTACATGAGCCATGCCTTAAGATTGTGGTGCTGAGGAGGACTGGGGAAGCTAAGAAAGAGCTCTGCCTTGGAAACCATGGCATGGGCATTTAGGATACAGCTGACTCACACGTGCTTAATGTTTCTGGTTAAAGATTGCCATGTGTCAGAAAGGACAGATTTCCAGAGAAGGGTTATTTGGAGTCACAGTCACACTTGGAACAGGATTAAGAATCAGGGCCTGTGCACCTGGGAGAAGCAAACACTTGGAGCTGATGAGGAGAAGGGGAAATGGGGAAAACCGATGGGAGCAGCTAAATGTGAAACGTTGAAGGGGAAAGGCGTGAACACTACATTTCCAGGGCAAATACAGAATCCATTGTGGAAAAATTATTTTCCAAGCAACAGAAGTGGGTACACTGAGGAGTATGAAGGGGTTTTTCAGTCCAGCCACTATGGAATATTTAAAGCGACCTTGTCTTGAAAATGAAAAGTATTGGCTGCACAGCCAGGGGACTGAGTTTCAATTCTTAGCACCCTGCATGCACTGTAACACTGCAACTCTGATCCCAGTAGATCTGACACCCTCTTCTGCCCTTAGAGGGTACTGCATACATGCAATGCACATACATTCAGGCAAGCACTCATACCCATAAAATGAATCTCAAATTTTTGTAGGCTGGAGGGATGGCTCAGTGGTTAAGAGTCCTTGATGTTCTCCACAGGCTATGAATTTCTAGCTCCTATGTTGGGCAACTCACACTCACCTGTAAGACCCGCTTCAGGGGATCCTAGTACACTTACACTCATGCATATACCCCTACACAGACATACACAAATAAAAATATTTTGTTTTAATCACTGTTCTGTTGCAGCAAGAAGACACCATGACCAAGGTAACTCTTAGAAAGCATTTAATTGGTGGCTTGATTAGAATTTCCCTGCCATTATCATCATGGCTGGGAAGAAGCATGGGCAGGCATGGTGCTGGAGTAGTTGAGACCTATGTCCTAATTCACCAGCAGCAGGAAGAGAGAGCCTTTCAAAAGGCTTAAAACAGCCTTTCGAAACCTCAAACCTCCCCCCCCCCCCCAGTGACACGCTTCCACCAACAAGGTTACACCCCCTAATCCTTATAGCCTTTTCTAATAGTTCCACTCCCTGAGACTAAACATTCACATATTTGAGCCTATGGGGGCCATTCTTACTCTTTTTTATTTATGTGTCTGTATGTGAGTATGCACATGTTGGTGCAGGGGTGTGGGGAAGTGCAAAAGTCAGAAGAGGGTGTCGCATTCTCTGGTACTGGAATTCAAGGCAGCTGTAAGCCATCTGATATGGGTGCTGAGAATTGAAGCCAGTCCTGTGCAAAGGAAGCAGCCACTGATTGAGTCATCACTCCAGCCTTTACCTTAAAGTTAAAAACGTAGGGAAAACACTGAGCTCTCTTTAAAGAGTCTTGGGCTAGTAGACGGGGAGAGGTGATGAGCCTTGAAAGAGATTCAAGGAGAGCTGTAACCACAGGCTGGTTAATTCCCACGGTGGGAGAGGGTATCTTTTAGCCATGGTGCTTGTGAGGGCTAAGAGGTTACTGCCCTCATGTGGCCGATCTGCTAACAAAGTCAAAACACCTGCAAACTTGGTAAAAATGCAGTCTTAGGATCCGACTACAGGTTATCCATGTGACTTGGATCCCGTCAGGTCCCTTGGATGGTTCCCACAGCAATCAGGGCCACCATTCAGCTGCTTACATCCCAGATTCTCGTCCTTCCTCAAGTCAGTGTACCCTTCAAGGCCTTCTGCCTCTTTTCAAATCCTGTTCCACTATAAATCCCTGGCTGGCCTGAAAGTATGTAGACCAGGATGGCCTCTAAGAAATCTGTCTGATTACGCCTCATGCATGCTGGAATTAAAGGTGTGTGCTATGGCTGTATGGAGGTCAGAGAACAATTGGAGGGATCCATTCTCTTCCACCATATGGAGCACAGGCTTGGCAAAGCAACTTTTTTTCTCCTTTTAGACTTTATGCATATGACTGTTTTGTCTCCTTGTAATTATGTGCATCACACATATGCCTGGTGCCTGTGTTGATCAGAAGAAGGTCAGACTGTTTTAGTTATCTTTTCTATTGCTGTGATGAAACATCATGACTAAAAGCAACTTGAGACAGTTTATTTGACTTATACTTCTACATCTAGTCCATCATTGAAGAAAGTCAAACAGGGCAGGAACCTGGAGGCAGGAGCTGACAGACCATGGGGGAATGCTCATTACTGGCTTACTCGGTCTAATCCCCTCCCCACACCCCAACCCACCCCCACACCAAGACAGGGTTTCTCTGTGTAACAGTCATGGCTGTCCTGGAACTCTCTTTGTAGACCAGGCTAGCCTCAAATTCAGAGACGCAGAGGCAGGTGGGTGTTAAAGCACCATATCTGGCATTTCAGCCTGCTTTCTTTTTACAACCCAGGACCATCAGCCAAGGGATGGCACCACCCACAATGGCCTAGCAATCACTAATTGAGAAAATGCCCTAACTGGCTTCCCTACAGCTTAGTTTTTTTTTTTTCCCAAGACAGGGTTTCTCTGTTTAGTCCTGACTGTCCTGAAACTCACTCTGTAGACCAGTCTGTACTCAAACTCTGCCATCTCTTCCTCTGGACATAAAGGTGTGCGTCACCATCACTGGCCAGTTTGATCTTATGGATGAATTTTCTCAATTGAAGCTTCCTCCTCTCTGATGACTCTAGCTTGTGTCAAGTTGACATAAAACTAGCCAGCACAGGATGGAGATATGGTTCAGTGGTTAAGGGCACTGGCTGCTTTTCCAGAGGACCTGGGTTCAATTCCCAGCACCCACATGGTGGCTCACGCTGTCTGTAACTCTAGTTAATTAACTAGAGGACCTGATACCCTTACCTACACATATGGAAATGAAGGTAAAACCCCAATGCACATATAAATTAAGAATAGACAAAATGTTTTTAGAAAGACAGGAGATGGTGGTGCATGCCTTTGATCACAGCACTCAGGAAGCAGATCTTGAGTCTGAGGTCACAAATTGGTGTACAAAGTGAATTCCAGGACAGTCAGAGCTGTACCACAAGAGAAATTCTGTCTGGAGAAGTCAAAAGAAAAAAAAAAAAAAAAAAAAAAAAAAAGCAAGAGTCAAAACACAGCAGGGATTAAATAAGCTGCTTCTCTTTCCACTGTTTATTATTAATGTACAAAATATACAAAATCAAAAGAAAAAACTCCTCAAATCCATTGTGGTTCTAACCCAAGACCCTGCACAAAACCAACCCACTGTTTTCATAGAAAACAACTGATGCCAAGACAGGGGAAGGAGAGGACTGGGACAGGGCCACTCCTGCTGAATCCACCCAAGCAGCCTCACACTGACGGGGTCCACATGGGGTAAGGAGCAAGCCCATTCCCAAAGGCAGTGCATGTCGTGCGTCAGGCCCAGTGCGCCCGCTTGAAGTTGATGAAAGCTGGTCTCACGGAAGTGTTCAATGGAGTCTCTAAAATGGCTGCAGGCAAGAGTGGCCTAAGACTGCAGGCCTCCCCTCTGACAGCTACAATTTTAACTGTATATGAATACGGATGTGCCATCACTGAACCTAGCAGACCCGCAGTGACTTGGGTACTAACAGTTCCAGTCTTCCTTGAGAAAGGGCTCAATGGTGACTGGCCCATGTGGGGCACAAGAGAGGGTGGTTCCAGAACTCAATTCCAGCTAGCTTGAGCCCTCAGTGCAGTGGGATATATGGTACCCCTCACCACCCCTCACCCCATGGGGATAATGAGCTTGGCTTGGTTTCCTAAGTGCAGCTGACCAACTCAGTTCCGTGTGCAAGTGGAGAGCAGAGGTCTCCAGGGTGACCAGCTTTAGGTTCTCAGGCATTGGGGCTAATACTGGAAGGGGTTTAGGGCACAGGGCAATTCTCCTCACAAAGTGAAGCCAGCCGTCTCAGCAGTCCAGCATATAGAGTGTGTCCAGCCTCTCTCCTCTCCAGACTGGAGGGGAATATGTACATCAATGCGCACCAGTGATCAGAAACCCCCAGGAACCCAACCAGGTGGGAACTGAGGGGGCCGGCTCCTCATCAGCTGGGGAGAAGGGGAAGTAGGCCTCACAGAAGCCATAAGAGTGGAAGGAGCAAGGCTGCAGTCCACAGGGGTGCAGGTGGGGCAGGCAGGCCTACGGCAATGGGGGCCCATTGACCCCCGGGTGATAGAAGGCACAGTTGTTCTCATAGCGGCAGTTGCCCTTCATCATGAAATGTCGACAGACAGGGCGGTTTGACATATCTGTGGGAATGAGGGCAGAATGGTTAGAAAACAGCCATCATCACCATCTCAAGACCTGAACAACTGGGACAAGTCTTCAAAGACACAATATTTGGGGGCTTTGATATAAAGATAGAGAGTGGTTAATTGCCTTCCTTATATACAGAGAAGACAAGGAGATGGAACCCTCCTGTTCTTTCTACCTCTCCCCTGGCTTCCCCCCACAATCTAGTGTAGGACTCTAAAATCAATGTATGTGTGGGAAGTATCCTCACCTCCTCCATGACTGTGGCCTCCATCATGCCCTCGGTGGCCGCCTCCCCCATGGCCATCATGACCACGGTGTTCATGAGGTGGTGGCCCTCGATGGTCATGGCCTCGATGACTAGGGACATCATGTGGCCGGTGGCCATGAGGTCCCCCATGTCCAGGGCCTTCATGGGGTCTATGTCCACCACCAGAACCCATTCCTCCTCCAGGGCCTTCATGGGAACGATGTCCACCGCCCATCCCTCCACCAGGTCCTTCATGAGATCGATGGCCACCACCAGAACCCATTCCTCCTCCAGGGCCTTCATGGGAACGATGTCCACTGCCCATCCCTCCACCAGGTCCTTCGTGGGGTCGATGGCCACTGCCCATTCCTCCACCAGGGCCTTCATGGGGTCGATGTCCGCTGCCGCCGCCCATTCCTCCACCAGGGCCTTCATGGGGTCGATGTCCGCTGCCGCTGCCCATGTTCCCACCAGGGCCTTCATGGGGTCGGTGCCCACCACCTCCAACCATGCCTCCTCCACCAGGACCCCCTCGGCCATTTGGGGGTCCTCCTCCAGAACGACCTCCTCTGGCTCCTCGGAATGGAGGGGGTGGTGGCGGCTCGTTTCCTCCACGACCTCCTCGGCCTCTGTGGTATGGTCCAGGACCAGGTCCTGGACCCCCACGCATTGGGCCACCTCGCATGGGGTCACCTGGGCCATCCCAGAAGGGATCACCTCCCCGAGGAGGGGGTGGGGGACCCAGGAGACGTGGACCCACAGGTCCACCAGGGCCTCCATGAGGACCTGTTAGATAAAAGAGGAAAACAAGAAATCAGTTATCTGTTACATTCTATTATTCCTACCTCTAACCTGACCCGGCCCCACCATCTGTGGTCCCTGGCTGTTGCCATGCTGAAACAAAGCAGTAAGCCCACCGAATCCCTCTCACCTACCTGGCATTGGCCCTCCAGGACCAGGGGGGAAATGCTGCATGCCCTTGGGGCCCCCAGGGCCTCCTGGTGGGAAGCCATTGGCTACAGGACCAGGACCTAGAAGTCCATGAGGCACTGTAAATGAAAACAGGAGTCAGTCAGAAAGAGAATTCAAAGAATGGCATGGCTTTCCACACAAGTGTACCCTACCCAACTGATCTTAGACCAACCTGGCAGAGCCATGCTCTCCGTCCAGTTTTTCCCTCCCATATCTTGCCCAGTGGCAACAGTCCCATGCTCTTCTGCATCTGGGGAGCCCTGTATCCCCCCCTCTGCCACAGGGGATCCTCCCCGGTTTCCTGTGGCTGGCCCTGAGGATTACCCAGCATCTGCTTGAGCTTGTCTGAGTACTCTGGCTGCTTCAGCAGTTCCTCTGAAGGGTGGCTGTTTGGACTGCCCTGTGAGCAAGTAAAATGACAGTTACGAGGGTGACAGCCAGGGTAAAGCAAGGACGTACATGTAAATGGAAGACAAAGAACTGGGCTGAGCTGGGCACAGGGTGCAGGCTGAGTCACAAATCAACTTGGCTACATGGTGAGACCTTTTCCCAAAACTGAAACCCAGCAATACCCTAAATGGGAAAAACCCAAACACACGCAAAAACAAAAAGCTAGGGTGAAGAGTGGGACACAACGTGCGGAGCTCACTTGAGGAAGAGGGCTCAGCTCACATACCATGATGGAGGTGAGGATATCCTGGACATTGATACCTCCTCCTCCAGGGCCCTGGGGGCTCTTCCCAGCTCCCATGCTTCCCATAAGATTGGCCAGAACTGGAGGCAGCTTGGAGCCTCCTGCCCCATCAGGTGAGCCACCAGAAACCCCAGGCTCCAGGGTCTCAACATATGGTACCTCATCCATGGAACACTCCTAAAAACGGAAGTAAACAAATCAGGACTGTAGAAAACAACACAGAGGTATCCTCACACGAGTGCCCGGCACTGCCGGTCCACCACACCAGCTCGTCCAAAGACTCACCTCATCCAAGGGGATGAGCTTCGGGGGTATGGGCTCATAGGGCTCAGGATCGGGCTCATGAGGACTGTAAGGGTGCAAATGCGCACCACAGGTGAAGGAGATAAAAAAGAACACAAGTTAATTCAGCCCCTGAAGTTCTCTGTGGTGCCTCCCTAAGGCCCCACATCACTGTCCCATGGTACAGGCATCCCACACCTCAGGCCTTGGTGCCTGTACTCACCTCTCCTTGTTCAGGAAGAGCTCCTGAAGGATGCCCTTTTCCCGCTCAGCTTGGACATATCGCTCCTGACTATTGCTTCCAGGGATGACAAGAGGTGAGGGCAGAACCAGAGGCCGGGGACACACCCAAGGCACTTTCTCCTCCATGTTGTCATGGCTTAGTCGCCGGGCTGTCTCAAAAGCATGTCGGTCTGACAGTATCTCACGCTTAGCTGCCTCACCAAAGTCTTTGATCTTGTTCACATTCACTGCAAGGGAGGCAGAGAGGCCAAGAGACAAGTGAGTAAACGGCCCATGCTCAAATTCTTAGCACACCCTACACTGTGATCCGGCATCGCACCTCGTTCAGTTTCATCCAGTTCAAAGTAGAAATACTCTCTCAGCTTGCCCTCCTCAGGCCATGTCACAGTTTTCCTCTTTCTGCCCTTCCGAGTCAGCTGGCTGGGATCACCAGGACTCTCCACTGGCTTTGCATCCAAAGCTCCTGGCTCTGAAGAGGCTGAAAACAAGAGAGATTACAGAAGAGCTGTAAGCAAGCTAAGGTCCAGCCCAAGATGCAGTCTTTCAGAAATGGCCCTAACCAGGCACCATAGGCTACCTGCATCCATGAGCTCGGGAACTTCCACAGGTGGCACTGGGGTGCCAGGGCGGTCTGTGTCCATGGGCTCAGCAGGGGGTGCTGGCTCCGGGGAAGAAGGTTTGGCCGTGCTTGGTTCAGTGCTTGTTTTCCCTTCAAAAGGGCTGGGCTGTTAGGAAAGAGAAAGCATCCAATGAGCTTACAGGACACCCAGGGCAGCAAAGTCAGGATCCTAGATACCCAATGGTCCCAGGCCACACTATCCCAGAAAGCACTCCTGTAGCCACCACACAGCTCCTGGCTATGGTGCCCTGTCTTCTGTACCCCCCCCCCCCATACCCCACAGTCACCAAAATCCACTTCTAGGCTCACACCTTGGCAGCAGTAGGCGACAGCACCTTCTTTTTCTTCTTAATTTTGATGCCTGGGACAGGGGCTGAATTGAGAGCATCCAGAAAACCCAGGCCCTCCATAGCTACAGAAGGAAAGAATGGAATGAATTGAAACTCCTTCACAATTCTATTTCTATTCCTGCAGAGCCCAGGCAGAAAACAAAAGTGGGCATGTGGGGTCCCTGCCCAAGATGACCAGGAATAAGGATTCACACAGGAAATCCCCATTATTCCATCTTTCTTTTGGCAGCCATGACTTTAATCACAATTCTAGAATGCATTAATTCATTAAGCAAACTGTACACCAGAGTGTCCAGCCATGAAGAGATAGCTGAAAAAGTTATCACTTGAGAGGGCACAGCTTCATGCCACTTATCTAACATGGAAGGGGAATTCCACAGATACAAAAAAAAATCTAAGATGCCAAGACATTAAAGGCAAAGCAAAAGAAATCACTGAAGGGCACATCTTCCCCCACCCAGAAGAGCTTTCCCCATGCCACAGGCACTCCAGGAGGACTCACGCTGTGGGGGGATGATCTTCACTTTGATTTCTTTGGTGGTATTGGGGGTTGTGTTGAGGGGCTTGTACTTCTTCTCTGCAGGTGGGGCAGCATCTCCTGGAGCAGCTGTGGCGCTCTGCCGCTTGAGGGGGATGGGCTTCAGATTGTACTTGTCTGACACCACCACAGTGCTGGAGTTTTTCTTCACGGGCACCAAAGATGGGGTATCCAGCTCTAGTCCTGGGGAGATACAAGGTGACCCTGACTCTCACTGTCCCTCCCTGTTGCCAACCCTAGATGTTCTAGCCTTGAGTAGGTGCCTGCAGCTTCTCCTTTAGCCTTCTTCCTCAGAGTTTGAAATCACAAACTATTGGCTGTGCAGATAGATGGATGGCTCTGCAAAGCCAGCTAGGGTCCTCACCAGTGGAGCGGAACTTGGCATGACTGGGTGCTGTGGTTCGCAGTGACTTGGGCTTTTCCTTCTTCTTCTCTGGGGCCTCCTCAGCCCGGGTCTCAGCCTTCACCTCAGTCAAAGGTCGCTCAGGAAGCACAGTTCGGCTTTTTCCCTCTTCTTTCCGTTTCTTCTTATCTTTCTCTGTTATGGAAAAATAAATCAGGTAAGGATGTCTCATTTAGATAAAGAGAAGAGTTCCAGACCAACCTAAGGTCACCCCAGAGCTGCTCTCTAATGGAAAAGAAAAGCACCTGGGGTAAAGTGCCAAGGAGCTTACCCGCAGGCTGGGCACTACTTTGGGAGCGGATGACAGCCATCCAGTCACTGACAAGAACTGAGGCCAATTTTCGGAGCTCTGCATGTGAGAAAAGGAAAAAATTACTTATTGAATAATAATTCAATATATTTCCAGTAACAAAAAATAGGGCATTAAAAAAAATGTTAAATCTGTTCAATGGGAAAAAAATACCTCAAATTCTTTTTTTTTTTAAAGACTTATTTACTATATATACAGTGTTCTGTCTGCACTTATCCCTGCAGGCCAGAAGAGGGCACCAGATCTCATTACAGATGGCTGTAAGCTACCATGTACTTGCTGGGAATTGAACTCAGGACCTCAGGAAGAGCAGCCAATGCTCTTAACCTCAGAGCCATCTCTCCAGCCCCTCAAATTCTTAAGAATATGATATGCTTAAAACAGAAATCTGAGGCAGCCTTTCCCCTGACTCCTTGCTGTTGGGGGCAATGACTTCAATCAAGGTGGGAAGGTAAAATGAGAACACACCAGCAGGCCCGATTATGTGTTAAGAAGCAATTTACATAGGGAAAAAAATATGCCTGAGAATCTAAAGGACTGGATTTATCTTCAATCTGTGAGAACTTTTTTTTAGCCTTCCCTGGAGGAACATAGCCAGCAGAAACTCTTCTTTGGTACTTATCTTCTCCAATCATGCAGACTCATTTAGCAAGCAAGATGGCCATACACCATAAAGACCTGTCTTTCTGTAACAGGCACACAGTTGTGATTACTGTCTCAAGGCAATGCACATTTCATGTATCTACAGGGCAGCAAGATCTTAAAGCCTGTTTGGAGTTGGGCATGGGACACATCTGAAGCCAACTTGGGAGGCAACGCAGGGGCAGGTGGATCTGAGAGTTTAAAGCCAACCTGATCTACACAGAGAGTATCAGCCCAGCTAGAGATAGATACTAAGACCTAGTTTCTCAAAAACAAAACAAAGCTGGATGGCAGTGCCACATGCTTCTAATCCCAGCACTGAGGAGGCAGAGGCAGGAAGATCTCTGTGAGTTCCAGGCCAGTCTGGTCTACAGAGCAAATCCAGAATAGCTAGGGCTGCACAGAGAAACCCTGTCTTAAAAACCAAAACAAACAAAAAACCTCTCTATTCAGGGGCTGGAGAGATGGGTGTTTTATTCTAGAGGACATGGTGGCTCCTAGGTATCTATAACTCTAGTTCAAGGGATCTAATGAACTTTCTGGTCTCTATGGCTCTGCATACAAGCAGGTAAAATATCCACACACAGAAACAATAATAAAGTAACACCCTCTGTTCGGAGTAAGAAGCAGTATAAAGCTAGCTGGAAGCAGGTGACAGCAACCCAACAGTGAAGAATGACATCTCCTTCTATGTGACATGCTCTCCAAATTACTAAGGACACACTGAGATACCATAAAACTTGTAAAATGCTCAAAGAACCAAATACTGAAAATTAATAAGACTAAAAAGGGTATCCCCCATGACAGCGCCCCTTACCAGCAGGAAGTAGTTTGGAAAGAACGACGCCCAAATTCCCAAATATTGTCTATAAATGTTTGTTTTCATTTAAATGGACTTGGATATATATATATATATATATATATATATATATATATGTATATATATGTATATATATATATATACATACATACATATATATATATATATGGGTAGAAAGCTACAGAGTGGTTTCCACTTAATACGTAAGTTCTTATTCAGCATGCCAGGGTACCCTGGGGTTTACTCCCCAGAAACATGTAAACACACGTAAAACCCAGTATTATAAAAACAAAAAGTAAAATGGGCCAGGTGGTGGTAGCTCATGCCTTTAATCCCATACTTGGGAGGCAGAGGCAGTGGGATCTCTTTGAGTTTGAGGCCAGACTGGTCAGTATAGTGAGTTCCAGGACAGCAAGGTCTGCACAGACAGACCCTGTCTCCCAAACAGAAACAGAAAAGGGGAGGAAGGGAAGACAGGAGTCAGGTCAAAGATAATGCAGTAAAGGAGACAAAAGGGAAGGCCATAACACAGAAATGACCCTGCAGAGCCCAGGTCCAGGGCGCACACTGGCACACACCTTCATCGTCGCTTGACTTGCTCAGCTGCTTCACTAGTTTTGCTGTGTTGTTCTGTGAGAAGGAAATGGCAGGCGGTAAATGCCAGGAATAAGACAAACTCACTCAGCGCTAACTAAACCACCGCTTAATAGCACTGGCATACTTTAACCACCAAAACTTTTTTTTTTTTTTTTAATCCTCGGTGGCCTGGAACTCAAGAGATCCTCTGCCTCCCAAGTGCTGGGATTAAAGCATATGCCACCCCTGCCCAACTATAGATACATTCTTACGTATTGCTGGAGAAACCCAGGAAGAACAGGTGAAGACACAGCTCAGTAGAGTGCTAGACTAGATTTAGTTACAGGTCAACTTATTCCCACTTTAGAGATGGAAAACTGAGGCTCAGATATACAAAGGGTTTGGGTCATATATCAGGTCATATGCCTGGTGAAGGAAATAAATCCACACCCTGTCTTCCAATTCCACATTCCCATTTTCCTCTGCCATTCTACCTTATAAATTCCAGACTGCTACCCATCAGAACTGGAGCGAGGTTTTCATCAGTTAGGCTAACCCAGAAAGGAAAAGTGGATGATGTGACGTGGAGGTACCTGCTTGAGATGGTCCACAGTAAGTGGGAGGTGCTGCAAGGTCAGCAGTATCTGCTGCAGGAGAGGAATGTTATTGGTTGTCTTTGAATATGTTAGCCAGTTGTTCAGAAGCTTGTAGCCACCAACATCAATAAACCTGCAGACAGATGGGATCAGAATCCATTAAACCCTTCCTAGTTTTAGAACTAGCAAGCTCACATGTCCAGTGACCCAGAAACCCCATGCCTCCCCGACTCCCATCCCTGCCTCCCACTTACTTGACCAGCACTTCTGGGGCTCGGGTCTGCAGGATGATGTTCAAGTACGTACATCGACTCACCATCTTTCGTGCTTCTTTCATCAGACTGGAAAAAGTAGTCAAGTTAGACATGGGGCAAATCATCTGCTGTTGACTCTGAGTCAGAGACTGCCAGGCTAGCCACCCCTCCTGAGTGCTGGGATAATAAGCATGAGAAACACTATGCCAGCTAATGTCCTGTGGCAGAGGACTCTAATCTTCAGAGTTCTGGAGCCTTCCAGGATTGTAGAATGAATCTAGAGCTACCTGAAGAGGATTCATCCCTCATGTCCCAACACACAGAAACAACTGCCTCCATGGGGAGTCAAGGATCACACATTTCCCCTGTAATCTAAAACTGGTTTAGTTGTTTGCTTTTCTCTGGAAACCCTGAGATCCCTGAAGGAAAAGACATTTTGGATGGCATAACATGACCCAAAGCAGAACCAAGAATTCTGTTATAGGCTCCCCCACCTGCATTGCATCAGGCTTTCAGCCCATGGCTCTTGGGATTATAAACCAAATCTCCAGCTTCTATCATGGCCAATAGCTAAGAGATTGTTCTTCTCTTGTCACAACCAGTCTGCACGTGGCTTCCGCCTTCCCATTTACTTTTCTCTCTCTTACTCATTTCAACTCAGCCAGGACAAGTAGTCTCTTCTGACTAGAAACCCAACAAAGACACAGCTTACCTGAAGATCTTGGCAATTCCATCCACACTCTTCACTTCTCCATCCCGAGTAAGGAAGCTATCCAAGCCCTTGAGAAGTTCTTTGGGGTCTATGGGACCTGAACCCATGATGGTGGTTTCTGAGATAAAAGGAAAAAACAAAAACCCACAAGATAAATAGTAGCAAAGACAGCCCCACTAACTTATCCCTCTAATAAGTCCCACTGGCACCTTTAAGACACTGATTAATCTTTGTCCAACTGTACTATTCTATACGTCAGTAGAATCAAGTCTGTGCTAACGTAGCAGCCTTGGCCACTTAAACTAGGGGTTAATGTAGACTGGACCTGATAGGTAACTGAGTGAAGGCCCCAACAGCCTACCTCTCCTTCTCAGTTAACCCTCTTCAGGACAGTTACATTTCAGCAGAGTATATCAGAGCTAAGACCCATGATACAATGCTTAAGTCTCCACGATGTTCATTTGGACAGTCCTGTCTCCAGTTAGGGGCCACTAATTTTGATGTGGGGCAGCTGTAGCTTCCTAAGGTAACTGAGCCAATCCTGGGTAAACATTTTCAACAATCCAATCATCCTCTCTCCAGAAACCAATTCCCTTTTATCTTGGCTGTTTAAGTCAAAATCGCAAGTGGCACCATGTGTCAGCTAAAGTGGTTGATGGAGAAAACAAGCAAGCCCTGATCAGAGCCCTTCCCCAGGGAACTCAGTAGCTCTCAGAAACTAAAAAGGAAATCAGGCAGACTCATCAGCCCTGAAGAATGTTACTCATCCAACAAACACCAAACCAGCTTTTATTGTTCCAAAGTTCAAGAGAAAGTTTGCTTGTAGTTTCAGAAGCAAAGATGCAAGCCTGACCCTCTCCTGCCCTCAAAACTCACCCTGTCCAAGACTCCCAAGAAAAGGCCAAAGCTGAGAGCCAAAAGACATAATGAAGTTGATGATGTGGAAAGTGGATACCACTTCAAATCAAGCTGGGAAAGGAATGAATTAAAATATATACTCCTTCCAAAGAAAGAAAGTCATTTCCAGGCCAGAATTCCAGAGAGATAATTAGGAGTGATATGGTTCTGATTGGGAGTTTTAGTCACAACTCTATCACCACCAGCTCCCCAGAACCAAAGACATGAGTCTCCTCATCAGCAGTGGTCAGGTCAGTATTGATAAGAAAAAGGCAAGCCCTGCCCCCTACCCCCCCTGCATCTCACCCATCACCAACAGCAGAGGCAGCCCCACAAGGGTGAATATCAGTTTTAACAAAATAATCATTACATTTTCTACAGAAAATAGGACTCTCACAATATAATAGTTGTTTGTTCCCAGACAAACCAGGAAAGAAATATGTGTAAAAAGTGTGACTATTTTCCTGGCTTAGACATGCTTAACCTGAGTAAAGAGGCTGTCAATGACAACAGTGATTCTCCAGATAAAACAAGATTAAAAATTTAGTGTTTAAAAAGAAATTACTTTTAAATGTGGGCTTCCTAATACCCAGGGCAGCAGCAACAGCAGCAGGAGAGAGGCCCAGGGAAAGGAGGGGTGGCTGTGGTTTCTGCTCTGAAGGCTGAAAAGTCTGCTGGCTGAACAGAGACACAGGGAAGAAATGCTAAGCATGGAGCAAAACTTGTTAACTGCTATCACCCAACACCCTGGAACCTGAGGTCAGAGGAGAAAAACATACAAGAACACCGGAAATGTTTACAAGTTAGGGGGCAAATTCAATGAGGTGTGGCTATATGTACACAGCAGTGACTTGTGAACTTTTCTGCTATAGTAACATCAGTTAGACTGGAAAAGGAATGACTGGGCCCAAAGTAATAATACATGAGCAATCCAGACTAGGAAACTTAAAAATCTTTTATACATACATAAACCTATTAGAACCCCAAATGACAATGTATGCAATTTGACAAGTCCTAAATTAAACATTACTTCATTCCTGTCCCTTTGAACACAGCTGACTGAAGGTAACCCAGAGGTTTGTCCTTTGTATGTCTACCTAGGAATTAATAAGCCTAGCTCAAATGTCCCTTTGTTCAATTGTCAGACACACAGAGGGCAGCCACCTTTACAGAAACTGGACCATCGAGTACAAAGCTATGTTTAGTGCCCTCTGGTGGAAATGGTACCTAGGTATTTTTAAATTCCCATCTACATAAACAAAAAGGCACAATAGTCAAAATAGGCATGTTAAGATGCAAGTTTCCCCTTATATTTGGGAAGATGACTGAACTTGATGTTTCCTCATAGTAAAATATACATTTTTCTCAGTGCCTTTTCTTCAGTGGTATTTTTTATTTGGGACTCCAAGTGCCTTACAGCCTAGGTCCCCATTTTCACAGGTAAGTGGTAAGGTCTTCCAGTGGGAACAAAAGAAGAACCCATTGTGTTTGAAGTCTATGGTGAAGGCCCAAAGCTACATACATGGGTAGGGACAGTGCCCAAGTATTCCTCACTTCTAGAGTTTGAAGAGGAAGCTTTCTGTAACCATAAAGAACTCAGGTCATGTTTTTGTTTTGTCCTAACCAGTTGCTAATGTCCTTGAGGGCCACAGACAAAAGAAGGGGGACAAAAGCCTGTGATGTACCTCCACCTTCTAAGCACTGGAGAATGATCTACAATTTTTACTAGAGATCATATTCCTACCCAATGTCAAAATGAATTTGACTTGAGAATTGTTTGGTAGCATTCATCCTGGCTAGTCACTAAACTTCTACCACTGCTAAATCCTGAATCGGTTCAGGAAACAAGGTCCATGCCAGGGTACTTTAAAAGGACAAATAAGTGTCAGCTCTTATTTGTTGGGACCTGAGCATCTCCTGAACCAAAATGCCTTGCTCTTCCTTCAGTGTCTCAAGAGCTTCCTGGTATGACCCAATAATGGAAGGACTGTCTCAGGTGGTTCGTAAATTCTGAACCTTAGCATGGTAAGGCCCTACTCCTCCTCCATCATTATTTTGAAAATCTGGTAACCTGGTTCCAGGAATACTGTATTTTGCTTTCAATAAAGATGGAAAATTATGTCCACCACTCTGACCCTCAGAAAAAGTCCCCCAAATAGAACTCTGGCCATGCCATGAAAACCAGGCTCTCCAAGGTCCCCTAAAAAGCTTTGTTTTCATCTCCCATGCAAGGAAGGTCTTCTTTACTAATCCCTGCTCACTAGAGATCAGGAACCCCTGTGGGTGGAATGTTCAGCTCCCAAGGTAGGTATGCTGCAGAGGCACCTGGCAAACTGCTTAAAAGATAAAAATAAAGACTGTGGTAAATAGACATGTGGAAGAGGCCCTCCCATTCAAGTCCAAGTAATAATGAGAATCCACACCCAGCAGAAAATGAGCCCTGTCAAACCCAAGTTACCACAGGACAGAACAAAAGGTTTACAAACTGCCTAGAAACTCTACACTTCAATGCAGGACTTTTAAATGCAAAAATGTAAAGTATAAGAAGAAACTGTCAAAGACTTGACTTGGAAAAAGTTTGGAAAAAGAGATAAAGAACCAACACCCAATACCACCCTCAAGGGTGTGGCTTTCAACATGCATCAACTGCCACAGCACTGACCAGGTGGGGCACGAAGAGGACATTCTTCTCAATGCTTTAAAGGAATTTCTTTTTAGAAGGCAGGAAAAAGAAATTCAAAAAGGTGGCTCTTTGGAAAAAAGAAAGGTTGTGAAATGTAATACCAGAAATGTTTTGCTTACCAGAAACCGTAGCTTGACTCCCCCTGCCTCGAGTTTACAACTGCAGCCTCCTTTCCTAAAGAGTCACTTCTCATCCTAGTGCCAACATACAGGAACTAAGCAACTGCAGAAGGTGATGGCACTGAGCACAAGAGTTTATTCCCAAACTGAGAGGTGAGAATAAGGATGATTTATAAGAAAGTCCTACAAGTAACAACCCTCCCCCAGACTGTTACAAAGGCAACCACATTTGGAAGTACGAGGACCCGTCCTGAACAGAATGACACATTTCAGCTTCATTAGGCCCAATTGTCTATTCAAGTTACAAGCCCTGTGTCTTGCCCCAGTCTCCCAAAACGAAAGCACAGTTGGGTTTACTTTTTCACACCTGTCAACTGAAGCAAGGTCCATGTCCTAGTTTGTGATGAAAGGTGAAAATAAAAGCAATGGACTGATTGTTAAACAAACTATAACTACACGAGGGGAGCCTCCATTCCTGTTCTCAGTTAAGCTTTTATCCCTGTAAGATATTTTATGAAAGATAAAGGAAACGAAAAATGTTTTCTCCCCAGCAGCAATCTGCAGGAGAGAAAGCATCTGCTTGGGGGAGGAGTTTTCAGAGGAAGCAAGCTGATTACATCACCTTTCAAAGAGGCTCCTCCCCCTGACCAAGTTTGTAGGGCAGCCCTAAGCTGACTGGCAAAAGAGAAAAACAAAGGACAGGGACGCCATTTTGTTATGGAGAGGACGACTCAAAAAAATTTAAAAAGCCATCCAGATCTGCCGGTAGCTTTACTCACACTACAAAGCACTAAGTAAAAAAAAACCAGAAGCCATCCCTCCGCCCCCCATTCCTCAATCTAACCTATTTTAATTCAGTTTAAGAGCTCACTGAAAATAAAGTCAATATACAAATTTCTGCGGGTTAAGAATTTGAAACTGAAGTTCAATTTACTACTACCGCCGACCACCCCAATCCTCCCTATAACCGGAAAGGGGGAGGCCTTGGGACCCCTCAACAAATAGTATTGAGGTGGAAGGACAGGGAAAAAATGGATCAAGACACAACCTGCAACGCCGCTTGGAAGACAAAAGGACAAGGAAAAGTCGCCATATTTGAAGCAGGGAAGGAAAAAATTCTTTTAACGACACAAATCTTCTAGAAAGCTAGCATTCAATTGCACTAATGGTTTTTAAAATTATACTTCTGAGTTCCACATTTCCCCAACCTTTCCACCCTCTTAACTGTATCCACCAACCACTAAAAAGTATCAAGTTAAAATGTTAATCACTTTTGCCTTTAAATAACCTATGCAACCTGAAACAATCACAAGACATTCTTCACCTCCCCAATGTTATATTGTATGTACTTGTTACTAAGATTATATTTTGCCCTAAATTTAAGTGTCTTGCAATCTTTATTCTTAGATTGCCACCTATAACCATACAATATATCCCAAACAAATTACATTAAAATTGAGAGGATTTAACAAATCACTTTAAAGACATAGCCAGCTAATACTTCTCTCTGCCCATCTCCTTACCCTGCAATCTTTATGTACAGATTGCTTATTAATCTGGCAAATTGAAAGGCGCTTTGCTTGTCTCACACACAAAGAAGTGGGACTTCTGGGCCACAAGATCCACCATCTTTTGTATGTGAGCTCATTAACCCTTTTGAAGACTGCTAACCAGAGGAAGGTAACCATTCCTCCTTATAATAGCAAAGGCTTATTATGCTTTGGCAGTCTGGAAATTTGCTGGATTATCAAGGGTTAACCGTCAATATCCTCACTTGCTGGCCCTCCCTTCACCCTCTCCTTGCCTGCTCCACAGCAGGGAAGAGGCAGGTGGCAGGGGAGAGAGAACAAAGACTGTTTAGACCCACAGGACCTTTTTAATGGAGATTTAAGAGACCCGATTGGTCCTTCTCCAGTATTCTACATTTGTTCTATGGTCTTATTTCTTCCTCTCATTATTTTTGGTTTCGCAACGGGAAACGTTGATTTCTTGTTGCAAGGCTGGTTTTTGAAAATTCGACACTTACTATCCAATTTTTTTGCGACGTCAGCACCTCGGGCTCAGGGGGGAGGGGTAAAATTTTGGAGGAAAAAAAATAAAACAACCAACCAGGACCCAAACTCAATTACTTGGGGGGCCTCATTGGATCAAAAAGTCTCTTAAAAAAGTAAAGACCAACTCAGTATTCACATTCCCCCCACCCAACTCCATTTAGGGAGGGGGGTTCGTTGAATAAAAAAATCCTGAGTGGATACCAAAAAGGAAACGCTGGATGAGTGAGATTGGGTGGGTTTGGGGGGGAGGGTGGTTGATTATTTTTGAAGTTATGTAGTGACGGTCCTTCGGCCACAGATTTCAAGTCCCAAGCAGCGTGGGCTGGTGGGGTGGGCAAGATAGGTGGGAAAGGGTAGAAGACACAAGTGGTTGGGCTGGTGGCTGCTGTTTTCCCTTTCCCCCCTCTCAGGATCCTTTCAAGGGCTTAGATGTTGCTGAGGCTTGTTTGTTTTCCTGATGGCCGGCCTGTCTTTCTCCGAGAAAATTCAACCTGGGATGAAAAGAACACAAAAGGAGAAAGATGTAATCAATATGGGTCGCCTTATAAAACTCCCAAACGCCATTTTTCCTTTTGTCGTCCCAGCACATAACCGCGCTAGGCAAATCGTGGCTGCCGAATAAACCCATCTTTCTTTTCCCCGCTGCCCGGGCCACCCGCTCTCGGTAAAACGTTACCGTCCAAGCGACGGAGCACCCAAACTTACCTCTAAACGAACCCCAGAATGGCGGCCGCCCGCTCGGGCGGAGTCTTTTATACCCGGCCACCGCCCAACGCACCCTAACGTGATGGAGAAACGCCCTCGTCGCGAGACATTGTGCGCGAGGCGGAGGATGATTGGCCAACATGAAGGCCAGGTCGCCCGCGGATTGGCCACCTCTCCCCCCGCCTCCGGGGAGCCCGCCCCTCGCTTCCCGCTTCCGGCTCCTTCCGATGCCCTCTGCGCTAGCGCGTGATCGCCGCGTCCGGCACCTCCCTTTCCTCTGCCTCCACCACTTCCGCCCCGGCCCACGAGTCTCACCCTGGGTTGGTCAGAACGACTATGCGCATGCGCACTGGCATCGGCCCGCTCTAAATCGCACCCAAAACTACTTTAGTGTCATACACTAAGCCCGGAATCTGCGAGTCATCGTGACTAGTCCGGGAGAAAAGCGATTTGGGAGGCTAGTTCGATTGTGACGCAGCTGAAATTCGCGTCCCTCTGCCGACCCCGCCCTGGGACGCTTCCGTCCTGACGCACGTGAGCACCCGCCTTCCGCATGGTGAGGCTTGCACTCGGCCCCGCCCTAGCCCGTGTCTGAACATGCGCAGTGACTCTGCCTTCCGCCCGGCCGTACGTGAGGCGTGCGTCAAGATGGCTGCCTCCTTGTCGCACACGCTGCTGAGAGTGTTTCCTAGCCTCTTGCGAAGTTCCTCTGGACTGCAGGTAACAGCCGGGAGGACTTTCTCTGCGTCCTCGGGTAGTGTTTACGTTCGGCCTTTGCTCCGCCGCGAGCAGTTGAGGGGCACAGCTCCTCCGTGTTGTTACGGCTTAGTTTTGCACCACCTTTCTGTCCCCCACGACGCGCGTTCTCTAATACTTAGCCTTAGGGAGAAGAGCCAGGGTTACCTACCCGCCATCGTTTTCTCCGAGTACCAATAGGCAAAGAATTAGGTGGTTGGATTACTCCTCTAGACGTGGGCAAATGGTTAACTATAAGGTTGGTATTTGCAGTTGTGCCCAACCAGGAAGTGTCCTTGACTAATTTTAATCCCCCTCCCTCCCTGTTCCGGAGACAAGTCCAACAGCCTAGTTCGACCTCATGGGTGGCCTTGAACTCCTGACCTTTCTGCCTCCGCCTCCCAGTTTATTGATATTACGGGCATAATCCACCACTCCCAGCTCAATCTCCTACCACTTCAGTTTATCAGAGCATGCATGAGCGTCTAATTCTGCTCTCTCTGGATTGGAGTTACCCTCTAGCCTGAGGTACTCACCACCCTGGAGGCTCCTGGCAGGACAGGGAGAAATAGCTTGAAGGCTTGTCCCGATGACACTCCCTAAAGTGGGACTAAAGAGTAGCGACAGAGGTCACAACCGAAGTAATAACAGGGTTGGTAGCTTTAAAGCTGGCGTTAGCACTCAAAGTTTGTTTTGCCCCATGGAATGTCGACCTGCAGCATTCTGTAAAACTGGTCAACTCGGTGACTTTGAATTTTTCCTCCCTTGTCTGGTGCATCCCATGCTCTCCAAAAATTTTATTCCCAAATGTTATACATATTTTCTCTCTTCCACCAGATCTAAATAATGCCCAACAAGCCCAGATCTTTGTTTACCAAGTTTTTTAAATTGTTACATTCCACTGGTTGGCTTATCCTATGGGTCCTATGGGATCTGAGTGGAGCTAGTCAGTTAACACAGAAATGCAACTTTCATGTCTCTTCCTGTTGAATTGTTCATATATTTTGGACACACACTCCACCTCTCTCCCCAAAGTATGATAAACCAAATAATTGCATCCTCTTGATGCCCTTTATAGGTTCCCCTCCGGGCTCTTTGCACCAAAGGTCCTGAAGAAGGTTCTCCATCCTCACTTCCCATTTCCCCCTATGAGAATGAACCTTGGAAATATCTGGATTCGGAAGGTACCCAGATTGGGAGGAAGCAAAGGAGGGTGGGGCCTGAAGGAAGTGGCTAGATAAGACCCCTATCACCTCCTCGAGCAAATAAATAAGCTCATCTGGTTTTTATTTCAGAATACCAGAACCGCTATGGTTCTCGCCCGGTCTGGGCTGACTACCGCCGCAACCACAAAGGTGGTATACCGCCTCAGCGGACCCGAAAGACATGTATTGTAAGTTTTTAAGGTTGTCTGTCACCTTGATGGGGTGTGACAAGGGGGACATAGGGAAGGTAATACCAAATTCTTTTTGTGACTGTGTTTTGTATCTTTTAACTACTGGTTTCTTCTCTACAGCGTAAAAATGAAGTTGCTGGGAACCCTTGCCCCATCTGCCGGGATCACAAGTTGCATGTTGACTTTAGGGTAAGGAAAATCTTTTATCCAGAGTTAGGATTTGGATCCTCTCTGGAATGCTAAAGAGATCATCAGAGATGTCTCACACTCTTTTTGTATTCCTGTACCCATACAGTCCTGATGGCCACCAATGTGAAAACATCCCTCTTTTCCAGACTTTCACCCTCTACTGTGGATTTTATTACAGTGGTTTAGTTCGTTCTCTTAAAACTCAAAAGTCTAAATTTCGAGAGCTGGACAAGATGGTGTAGGCTTTTAATCCCAGCACTTAGGAGGCAGATTTCTGAGTTTGAGAACAGCCTGGGCTACACAGAGAAGCCTGTCTTGAAAAACAAACAAAAAATGACACATATTTGAAATCGGACTTGGTTTGCATGTGTCTAATCCCACATTGGCATAGCTGAAACTGAAGTGTGAAGTTCCAAGTTGCAGGCCCTGTCATAATCTACTCTACCTGTTACAGAAGTGAAGGGAAAGAAAGCTCATTTCTCCTGGGTATGATACCTAGACATGATCCCAAGTGGCCTTGGACTTGGTATGTAGCTAAACTTTTTTTTGGGGGGGGGGTCCAAGACAAGGTTTCTCTGTGTATCCCTGGCTGTCATGAAACTAGCTCTTATAGGCCAGGCTGGTCTTGAACTCACAGAGATTCTACTTCCTCTGCCTCTAGAGTTCTGGGATCAAAGGTGTGCATCACCACCACCTGGCTGCAGCTACATTTCTGATCCTCCTGCTTTCTAGGGGCTATGAAGTATAGGTGTGTGATGAGGCCACACCTAGCTCAAAGGGTTTTTGGTTTTGTTTTGTTTTGGGTTTTTTGTTATTGTTGTTGATGATGATGATGTTTTTAGCAAAAGAGCTCATGAAGAAACAAACCTCCAATGTGTGCACCACCCAACTCATTTTTCTCTTTTGAGAACAGGTCTGTTTATATATCTCAAGCTAGCCTCAACTCACTGTCCTCCTGTCTCGGCAGGCTCGGTTCTGGGATTTCTACCTTGCTTAGCTGCTATTTCTCTGTTCTCCCATTGTTCATTAATATGCTGGTACCGGGGGCTACAGGGCAGATATGAAGGGAGCTGTAGAATGGAACAGATTTTTTTTTTCCCCCCTCAAAATGGTGATGCTGCTTCTTAGTGGATAGTGTAGACCATAAAGATCCTCACAGGAGTCAAAACTATGGCTGCACATGGAGGATGCTGGATCACTCTGTGTTAGTCTGTTGGTGAGGGTTCATATCCTTCCAGCACATCATGGAGGGTGCCTTCCCAGTCTCCTTATGTAGGCGGTCACAGAAAGAGAGCAGTGACTGGGCCAGGATGATGGTAGGTGTATGTACTTTCTTCTCTGCTCAACTCCTGTGAGTGGTTTGTCTGGTTGTTTTATGTAATTAGAACTTTTAAATTACTCTTAGTTACACATTGTATTTTATGCATTATACTTAGCGGGCTATTGCATTAGTTATTCGTTACTCATATCCACCATAGCATGATTTATGGGTATTTTCTTGATAACTATCCCCAATTTTTTGCCCAAAAGGGGCCATTTTGGAACATGCCTCTTCATAACTTGGTGGCAGAATGTAGGATGTACATGTGAAATGAGTTGGTAAGGCTAAAACTGAAGGAAGTATCAAGATAGACACTGAGCAGTAAAGGCAGCTAGCTATGAGGCTGGCCTTAAACTCACAGGTCCACCCTGCCTCTGCCTCCCTAAGTGCTGGGATTACACCTGACATGTAGCCGAGACTGGCCTCAAACTCATCCTTCTCTATTGGGCTTTTCTTTGTGTTCTGATGGAATATGCCACCACAACGGGCTATATGGATGTTTAAGGCATCCACTCAGTCTTGACCACCACCTCATGCATTTGTTTCTCTCCTGCAGAATGTGAAACTCTTGGAACAGTTTGTTTGCGCCCACACGGGTATCATCTTCCATGCCCCTTACACAGGTTAGCTTGGCATTCCTGTAAATACCACTTAGTGTTTTTCCTTGGAGCACTCCTGGTTTATGGTGTTGGTTATAACACATGGAAGTGTGGTTGAAGCTTTTGGAGATGGTATTTAATGAGGACACTCATTAAGCTAAAACAGTTAACATGTATACAAAAGGCTGAGGTGAACCTCTTGAGAGCCACTTTGAATTGTAAATTGCACCTTTAATACCAGAGCTGTAGAGAGAGCCCATCTTTAAAACAAACAGAAAACCTCAAAAAAAAAAAAAAAAAAAACAAGAAAAACAACTAAATTAATAATTCAGGACACTGTCTACGTTCATTACCCTCTGTGGCCTGTGGCCATGTCCAATTTTTCATATGGCCTCTACAATAGCCAAGCTGAGTGTCCTATATCATAGACAGAGATGGAAGGACCTATACAGCAAGAATAATCTGAACTCCATGTTCATGGGAGGATCATGGCACTGTAGTAAGTTCCTTTTGGAAGTGTTCTTTTTACTATCAGTCTCCAAAATGGAAGTTGTGTAATTATTGCTACTCTGTCACATTCCCTAATTTGAAATCACCTTACGGGATCTTTCTCTGGATTGTCCCAAGTCAACCTTTAACCCCACATTGAGCTATCTTCTGGCCCATTGCAGGCTTTTCACTCCATGATAATGATGTCTCTGTAGTGGCTAGTCATCCGAAGTCCTTATCTAGCTTTCAGGCAGGAACAGAAGAAGCAGATGGGAAACTGGCTGCATGGGAGGGGCAGGGGCAGGGGTTGGGAGTCCTTAGTTAGGTAAAGCCAACTCCTACACGATCGAGCTGTCTTTGTATAGAAACTTTAGCTAACTTTTCCTTTATGGAATGGGAGTTAATTTTTTTTCTCCTTAGGGGTCTGTATGAAGCAGCACAAGAAGCTGACCCAGGCCATCCAGAAAGCCAGGGAGTGTGGTAAGTGAGATCAAGGTGACTTGGACTAGAAGGTGGTCATATGTTCCTAGAGTTTCTTCTGAATTGGCTGTGGTGCTGGAGCCTGTAGTTCCCAGCTGCAAATTTCTGGCTATGATGACTACATATTAAGACACTGCTTCAGGCACAAAGATCTGTAGTCTTCTAACAGATGAGAAAAGTGGGTGCCCTTCAGCAGTTTATACAGTGACTGAACACAGCTTTGAAGGGTTTCTCTGTGTAGCTTTGTAGACCAGGCTGACTTCACTCACAGATCTGCCTGCCTCTGCCTCCCTAGTGCTGGGGTTAAAGGCGTGTGCCACCACTGCCTGACTGTGCCTGCTTCGTTTGATTGGTCCCTCTATCTGTAGTGCCTTTTTCTTGTCTCTGAATCAAACTTCCTCATCCTTTGTTGTTTCCTCTAATCCCTTAGGTCTCCTCAGCTACTACATTCCCCAGGTTGAGCCTCGAGATGTTGACTTCTGTACTGTTCATGGAGCTGTCACTGCTACTCCGCCAGCCCCCACATTGTTGTCAGGCAAACCTTGGTACCCATGGTACAGCTGGCAGCAGCCACCAGAGAGAGAACTGTCACGCCTTCGCCGTCTCTATCAAGGAAATCTCCTAGAAGAAAGTGGCCCTCCACCTGAGTCGATGCCCGAGATGCCCACTATACCACCAGCAGAAACCTCCACTGAGCAAATGGGCTCCCAGAGTGCTTAAGACTTGTGAACTGTGGAAGAAGTCAGGGTTAAGGAAATGGTCTTTAGGGCTATGTGATGACATGTTCTGAAACAGTCAGTTTTAAACAGTGGCAGACCCTAAGGAAATGATTGCTGAAGAGGACAAACAAATTTGAGGTTGAGGGGAGAGGTCTAGAGGCAAAAGTGACTATGGAGAGGGACTCAGATGTGACTAGGAGACTTGACTCTGGTGTGTGCACTTGTTACTGTCCCTATTTCAAACCTGCTGGCCCAGCTTCTCTACAATAAAGCTGTGTCCCTTCTGTCTCTGGCTTCCTTTGAATTGACTTTTCAGAACATGGTGAAGTGTGTGAGATGTGCTGCTGTGGTGGGGAGTGTATTCAGTCTGACTCACTCTGCCTGCAACTCCAGCAGGGAAAGTATGAAGGCGATCCCGTCCTGTGGGTCCCCTCAGCTGTTTGCTGTGAGGCCCCTGTGAAAAATCCTTGGTTGCCATGGTACTACAGGAGCACAAACCTACAAGGAGTCCCGTTGCTATGGGACCGAAAAGAATGGGGTCTCCCATGATGCTAGACCCTGCCCTGGGGGCGGGGTGATTGCTGGAGGCGGGTCCTGGAGAGAAAGACCAGGGGGGGGGTGTACGGACCTGGTAGCGGAAGTGACGTCGTGTGGGGCGTGTCCGGTCCCGCACAATGGGCCATGGAGTTCCCGTTCGATGTGGATGCGCTGTTCCCGGAGCGGATCACCGTGCTGGACCAGCACCTGCGGCCTCCGGCCCGCCGACCCGGAACCACAACGCCGGCCCGGTGACATTTCAAACCCGCCCCGTGGCCCTTCTGTCCCGGTTCTTCTCCAAACCTGGTCAAGGCACCACGCCCCCTTCTCACTGACTGCTGGCTACTCTCTGCGGTTCACAGCCTGGTTTTTGGTGGCCTTTGACCCTGGATCTAGCTGGGTTAACCGGCCTGCATCCCTAACCTTTCGCCCCTTGGCCCATGTGTGGCTTCAACTTGAGGCTATGGTTGACCCGCCCTTCCTACTGCCCCACAGTAAATCTTAGCATGGAAGCTGTGAAACCAAAGTTTGAGAAATGGAGGGATGAAGTGGGAGGTGAGGAATTCCAAGCAAGGGCAGAGACCCCCATGGAGGAGCTTGGGTGGGAGTCAAGCAGGCTGCTAGGAGTGACTCATGGGATGTTGTGACCCAAGCGAGTATCTGACCGGCCCATCTCTCTCTAGTGTGGATCTGCAGCAGCAAATCATGACTATTCTAGATGAACTGGGCAAGGCCTCTGCCAAGGTATGGGGCACTTCTAGGAGAAGTAAAGGCAAGCTGGGGTGGCAGATAAGGGGCCTGTACACAGTTTGCCTTCATCTCTACAGGCCCAGCACCTCCCTGCACCCATCACGAGTGCTTCCAGGATGCAGAGTAACCGCCATGTTGTTTATATACTAAAGGATATTTCAGCCCGACCGTGAGTTTTATTGTCATCCATGTGAATCACACCATTATCCTTAGCTGTCCTTCTTTCTTTTACTATCTCTCCCAGACAGTTGCTACTGCCTGGCTCATTATTTCCCCCATCCCACAGGGCAGGGAAAGGAGCCATTATAGGTTTTCTCAAAGTCGGATACAAGAAGCTCTTTGTACTGGTGAGTGTTGCTGCAAACTGGGCATTTGTAAGCTTCCAAGCCAGAGAAGAGATGTGGAGGAGGGTGGGAGTGGGTGGGCAACAAAGATGCCTAACTCCTAAAAAGATGTGTTGTTCTTGACGTCACAGGATGACCGCGAAGCTCACAATGAGGTGGAACCACTGTGCATTCTGGACTTTTACATCCACGAGTCAGTGCAACGGCATGGCCACGGGAGAGAACTCTTTCAGTATATGTTACAGGTACCAGCCAGTCTTTACGGGTTAGTCAAAACAGATCTAAAAGGCTCCTCACCTGAGGCTGCCAGAGTCCCTGCTGCCTGCCCCACAGTGGCCCATTTTTCTCATGTTCCTTCACCAGGCTCCCAGCTTCCTACTAGCATGCTCCCCCACTGCCCCCTGCCCCCAAGCCTCCCATTTTCCTGCAGAAAGAGCGAGTTGAGCCACATCAACTGGCCATTGATCGACCATCACCAAAGCTGCTGAAGTTCCTGAACAAACACTACAACCTGGAGACCACAGTCCCACAGGTCAGAGGCTCTGCACTGAGCAATCCCGTCAGACTGATCCTTTTGTAGTTGCTGGGATCCAAGTTAGGGCCTTGGGCATGCTGATGCTGTGCTTGTGCTCAGCCACTGAATTACATCTCTACTCCCCTTTTTAAAAACATGACATTTCTTACTGTGCATTCCCAGTTCGTGTGTGGAGATGAAAGACATGTGAGAATCAGTTACTCAGGATCAGCAAGTGCCCTTGAGATATGTGGCCAGTCCTACCTTGGGTTTTTTTGTTGTTGTCTTAGACTTATTTCATTTTATGTGTATGAATGTTTTGCCCACATGTATATATGTGCACCATGTTCATGCCTGTACACACAGAAGTCAGAAGAGGGTGTTAGAACCTTTAGAACTGGAGTTACAAATGACTGTGAGCCACCATGTGCTGGGGATTGAACCCTAGTCCTCTGCAAGAACAGCAAGTACTCTAAACTCTGAGCCATCTCTCTAACCTCCAATTCCCTCCCCCCAAATAAGGTCTTACTAGGTCACTCTGGCTGTCCTGGAACTCAGATATCCACGTACTTCTACCTCTAGAGTCCTGGAATTAAAGGGGTGTACTATCACCTCAGCTAATTTTTTTTTTTTTTGGAGAATTTCATACATAAGCTCTGTAACTTCAGCACTGCTGCCCCTTCAACTTCTCCTGTGTCCCCTCTCCCAAGTGCATAGAGGTATTTAAATCTGAGTCCCTTTACCTTTGCTTATATATACATGTGACCACTTTTTTTTTTTTTTTAAATTGAAACAGGGTCTCACTATGTAGCTAAGACTGACCTTGAACTCATGGTGATTCTCCTGTTTCTACCTCATGGGTGATGGGATGACAGATGGATGGACAGCTGTTTGGTTTTTGAAAGAAACTTGCTGTATAGTGCCCACACACACACCACAGCCCTGCCCACCTCAAACTGATGATCCTCCTGTCTCAACTTCCTAAGAGCTAGGATTACATCACAGTGTCCAGTGTGATTTATTTTTATTTTTACAACTAAATCTTTTTCTTCTTACACTATCACATGTTCTAGAAATATTCATCCTGTCTTCTTTTTTGTTTGTTTTTTCATTTGTTTATTTGTTTGTCTCACTATGTAGCTCTGGCTGTCCCAGAACTCACAGAGATCTGCCTGCCTCTGCTCAGACTGCTGGGATTGAAGGCATGTGCCACCATGCACAGCTTTCATGTTTTGAGAAGAGTATCATTATCTAGTGCTACCTGCCTGGACCCACAGAAATCCACCTACCTCTACCTCCACCACAATCAGTCAGGGGATGTTTGTTTGTCTATTTTCAGACAGGGTCTCATTGTGTAACTCAGCTGACCTGAGACTCCCAGAATAGCCCAGGATGGTCTTAAACTCACAGCAATTCTCCTGCCCCAAACTCCTAACTGCTGTATTACCATGCCTACCTTTTATTTTTATTCTTTGTTTAAAAATCATCAATTCTCTGTTTTTATTTTTGTGTATGTGAGTGTGCCTGCGTAAGATAATGTATACAGTGAGTAGGTACCATTGAGGCCAGAGGTGCTGACAACCTCACCTGGTTGCTCTGCAAGAGTAGTAAGGACTCTTTTTGTTTGTTTTGTTTTTTGAGATAGGGTTTCTCGGTGGCTTTGGAGGCTGTCCTGGAACTAGCTCTGTAGACCAGGCTGGTCACAGAGATCCACCTGCCTCTGACTCCTGAGTGCTGGGACTAAAGGCATTAAGTCCAGTAGTAAGGACTTTTAATCTCTAAGCCACTTCCTATTCTGTTATCTGTTATCAGGGGTTCTCCCTCCCTCCCTCCCTCCTTTCCTTTCTTCCTCCCTCCCCCGATCCCTCCCTTTCTTCCTTCTTTCCTTCCTGTTGTTGGTTTTTTGAGATGGCCTCTCTGTGTAGCTTTCACTGTCCTGGAGCTATCTGTGTAAAATCAGGCTGGCTTTGAACCATAGAGATCATCCTGCCTCTGCTTCGAGAGTTTTCCGCCACACCTGAACATGGGTTGTTTACTTAGTTTTCATCCTCAAATATAAGCAGTTCATTCCCACCTGTTCTTACACAGGGTGTTTCTCATTTAGTCAACATTTATGGACGATCCAGAATTACAGACATCCCAGCCCTTGGGGAGCTTGGTTTATCATGGAGGTGACTCTGAGTTTAGAGACACATCACTAATGCATCAACAGGCACCGACTGTGTGTCTGACACTGTTGTGGGCACTGGAACCACTTAATCAACAAAAGAATCTCTTCTAAATGGGGAACCAGGCAAACATAATGTATCCCAGGGCCAGGCAAGGTGGTGCATTCCTTTAATTCCAGCCCTGAGGAGGCAGAGACAGGCAGGGTTCTATAAATTCAAGGCCAGCCTACTCTAAATATCGAGATGCAGGGCTTCCTAGCCTGTCTTATAAAATAAAAAGTATTCTTTACTGCAGTTAAGGGTAAGTGTTGTGAGAAAATGAAGCCCATGTTGGTGGGGGAGGGCCTTTACAGGTGCAAGTGAGACTGGAGGAACCTGTCACACCAAGAAGCTAGTTAGTTCATTTATTGAACAGTGTGAAGGAAGTGTCCCACAGAGTGTGAGGGCCGGTACAAAGGCTGTGCAGTAGGAATATGCCCAGATCAGTGTGACAAAAGGAATGCAGTAGATGAAAGATGAGGCCAAAGGAAGTGAGCACATTAGGGCCACATAGGTCATTGTAAATAAAGGCTTCAGTTTTTACATAGTGAAAAGCAAAATCTCAGCCAGGTGGTGCTGCATGCCTTTAATCCCAGCACTGCTAAACATGAGGCAGGCAGATATCTGTGAGTTCAAGGTCAGCCTATTCTACAAAATGAATTCCAGGCCCAAGGTGGGTTGTAGAGTAAAACCATCTCAAAGGGGGAAAAAAAAAAAGTAAAAGTAAGAGCAATGTAAAGGGCATTCTTCACATCAGAACATTACACTGTTTACATGAACAAGTGGAGCAGCTAGCTTGTAAGGAATACCAGCAGATGGCAGATGGTATAATATTAATATTAGCAGATGTCCTGTGAGCTCTCTGTTCAAGATTTATATGCATGTGTGTATGTACACCATGTGCTTGCAGTGTCTGCAGAGGTGGCAGTAGGGCGATGGAGCCCCTGCCATCACAACCAATACAGATGGTTGTGAGCCGAGCTGTCACGTGGATGTTGGGAATGGAAGGGACCCAGAAGAGCAGTTATCTGCCTAGCCCCTGGATTTACTCTGCATTGGTGCTGTGACGATAACTCTGCTTGTGGAGGTCTATTTTTCCAAACACCATATGGGTTTGGGTTTTTTTTTTTTTTTTTTTTTTTTTTTTTTATTTAAAATTCTATCATACAGCATTGATTTCTGTGGTTCAACACTTAAGTTCTGAAAACAGGAAGTGTTAGACTTCGGTTTTGTTCTCTTGACTATAGACCAGCTGCTGCCTCTTGCTTCCAAGTGCTGGGAGAAAAGACATGAGCCACCACATTCATCCTTATTTGTAGTTTTATAATTCCACGGGAATTTTAAATCAGCTTGTTAGGATCAGGGATTTTGAGTGTTCTGTCTTTCCCCGAGGGCAAACAGTCTGCCTTTTGTTCTTTCTACTGTGGCTTTTGTTCTCTCTCTCTCTCTCTCTCTCTCTCTCTTTCTACTGTGGCTTTTGTTTTCTCTCTCTCTCTCTCTCTTTTTTTTTGAGGGGGTGGCTGGTTTGAGACAGGGTGACCAGGCTGGCCTCGAACTCAGAGATCTTCCTACCTCACCTCTGCTTCCCAAGTGCTGGGATTAAAGCCAGGTGACACCACTGCCTGGATAGAGTTATTGTTTTACATGTATGAATATTTTGCCTGCATGAATATATGTGAAGTACCGATGTGCCTAGTACCCAATGGAGGAGGTGAAAGGGGTGTCAGATCCCCTGGAGTTAGAGATGGTTGTGAGCTGCCGTGCTGGTGCTAGGAAATCAGTCTTCTTCAAGGACTGCAAACGCTCTGAACCACTGAACCATCTCTCCAGCCCCTTATTTTTGTTTCTTGGAGCAGGGCCTCACATAGCCCAGGCTGGCCTCCAGCTCTCTATGTAGCTGAGGATAACCTTGAACACAGTCCTCCTACCTCTTCTCTTCCATATGCTACCATGACAGGCATGTGCCACTGTACTCAATGTATGTGGTGCTGAGGCCTGAACCCAGGCCTTCATGGGATGGTAGGTAAACACTCCCACTAGCTGAGCTATGCCAAAGACCACTGCTTTGGTCTTTCTGGCACAGTTTCTGTAGCCACTGTGTGTTGAGATTGAGTGGACAATGTGCTTTGTTTGCTTCATCTTCCAGGTGAACAACTTCGTGATCTTTGAAGGCTTCTTTGCCCATCAGCATCGTAAGTTTACTTAGCTTGTGTTGACGTAGTAGTTGGGGAGTGGGAAAGGAAAGAGGTGGGCTCTCGCTTGGTCCCACTGGCCCCCACTGAGGGCCACCACCTCTTCCTTCCTCACAGGGACCCCCACTCCCTCTCTGAGGGCAACTCGACACTCTCGTGCAGCTGAGGTCGACCTCACGCCTGCTGGTAAAGCCTGCATGGACTGGGTGGAGTTAAAGAACAGTGAGGTCTAGTTTCTCAAGAGGTTCCAAAGTGTGCAGTGCTATCTGCTGGCCATTCAGGCTCTAAAGCCCCCACATAGCCAGCAGTCAGTTCCCTCTGTTTGCCTTGGCCCTGCTTGGGAGTTAGTGCACTTTATAACTGGGAAGAACTCAGACCCTGCTGACGCTGAAGCATGTGCTCTAACCACACTGCTCTGCTACCAAGGTGCACCCCACCCCTGTTCTCAGCAAGGATTCTCATTAAGCAAGCCCCCTCAGAGCTTTGCTGACCACTGATGTCAGCATAGCCTCTTTACTAGGCCAGCTCACTCAAAATAGGCCAAAATCAAATTACTTTGTAAACTCTTTATAGGCTCTGTCAGCCAGGTAGGGACGGACAAGTGAGCCCAGCAGTCCTTTGATTTCTTTTCATGTCATAGTGATGTGATGAGTCCAAAGTTTAAATATTTGCTTTAGGAGAGAAAGCTCAAAACTGATAACATTTTAACCTGGCATGGTGACACGTGCCTTTAATTACCAACATCCAGGAAGCCAAAACAGATCTGTATGAATTTTGTTAAACTTGGCTGGGTGTGGTGACACAAGCCTTTAATCCAAGTACTCGGGAGACAGAGGCAGGCAGGTCTCTGTGAGTTCAAGGCCAGCCTGGTCTACAAAGTTACATGACAGCCAGGGCTACACAGAGAAACCCTGTCTAAAATAAAAATAAATAGATAAAAAGACCCATTTGGGATCAAACTCACAAGTGCATCCTGCTCCCTCCCCCAGGACATCTTCAGGGAGAGGGCACAGCCTTCATCAGTGGTGTGGGGCTGCATGGCACAGAGTGGCCTTCTTCATGGGAAGGCCCCTTGGCCTAGGAAAGGAGTAACAGTAGCCCAAAGAACAGCTCATTGCTCCCTATTAGTGTCAGCCCAGGGTCCCAGAGGCCCATCATGTCCATGAGGCATGGTGGTTTCTGAGGCTACCATTCAGCAGGCAGTGAGGTGTCACCAGATGGATGTAGATCCACGGAGAACTGCTGGGGTCTCCATCCTTGTGATGCAGAACCTGATCCACCCTTGCCATATAGTAATTCCCTCTTGCTGAAGCCCTTTGCAGATGCCCACATCTTTTTCTCTTCTTTTTGGGGAGGAAGAGGTTGAGACAGGATCTATGCATCTCTGACTGTGTTGGAACTAGCTATATAGATCAGGGTGGCCTTGAACTCACAGAGATCAGCCGGCCTCTGCCTCCTGAGTGCTGGGATTAAAGGTGTACACCACCATCACACAAGGAGCCTGGCTGGCTCCTTGTTCTTTGTAATTCTGACTGTCCTAAAACCCGCTAAGTCTATCAGGCCTGCCTCTACCTTTCCAGTGCAGGGACATGCCTTTAGCATGTGCCAACACATTCTTTTATTATTACTTTAAAACCTAATAAAACCTTAGTCTTTTCATATCTTTTTGTATAGGAAGGAGAGGTTCTGCACCTCCCCTCCACTCCTCTCCCCAGAACAATTCCCAATTAACCAAGGGCTTTGTCCATCTCATCTAGAAGCACCCAGGGTCCTCACTGGCCCAGCTGGGACTATTCCACTGCCCCAGAACCCCAGGGGGGCCTGACAACACCCATGGACAGTAAGAGCTCACCTTCCCTTGGCCATCCTTTCCTGTATTTCCCAGGCCCTGGTCTCCCCTGGATCTTTCTCCTGAAACTCTGTGTTTGGCCTACTCCTTCTGGCTCTCCCAGAAAGTGCTCCAGCATTCCTCCCCTGAACTCCCTTTGGTGTGCTGGCTTTGCACAGCATGGCTTCTGTACTGGCATTTCCAGGAGGAGCTGTGGTATCAGGGAACAGAAATCTGGGTTTGTGGGGAAGTAGCAGGGAGGAGGGGTGGAAAGTGCATCTCCTAAAACTTACTTGTATCTCTACCACCATCAGCTCCAGCACGGAAGCTGCCACCGAAAAGGGCAGAGGGAGACATTAAGCCATACTCCTCCAGTGACAGAGAATGTAAGGGGGCTGGGGAGGGTGGCTGGGGGGGCGAGTTGGTTGTGGGGGGGCGTAGCTGGGCCTGAGGACTCAGAAGAGGGTGGCTAAGCTTGGAGAACCAGATCAAGGAGACTGGCTAGGCATAAGGACCCAGAGAGGAGTGGTTAAGGGAAGGTAATTAGACAATAATAAAAGGCTAAGCTGCTTTTTCTGCCTAATCTTTATTATTGTGACTCTCTTCTCTCCCCTTTTCTTCCCTTTCTTACCCTCTTTGTTCTTCCTTTCCCAAGTCCTGAAGGTGGCTGTGGAGCCTCCTTGGCCCCTGAACAGGGCCCCTCGCCGTGCCACACCTCCAGCTCACCCACCTCCACGCTCCAGCAGCCTGGGGAACTCACCCGATCGGGGTCCCCTCCGACCCTTTGTACCAGAGCAGGAGCTGCTTCGTTCCCTGCGTCTCTGCCCCCCACACCCTACTGCCCGCCTTCTGCTGGCCTCTGACCCTGGGGGCAGCCCAGCCCAGCGCAGACGCACCAGGTAATAAGGCCTGAAAGTTTGGAAGCCTCGGGATGTCTAGAAGTTAGGAATGGTGAAGGATAAGATGAATCCCCCAGAAATGTGAAACAGTCAACTCTTAACCAGCTCTAGGGAGGCAGAGGCAGAGGCAGGCAAGTTTCTATGACTTTGAGGCCAGCCTGGTCTACAGAGTGAGTTCCAGGACAGGCTCCAAAGCAATACAGAGAAACCCTGTCTGGAAAAAAAAAAAAAAAGAAAAGAAAGGAACACAGATTTTCTGCAGCACTGGTCTGGAAAGAGTAAGGAATCCAGGGATTTAGGGATTTTACATGGAGCCAGAGATGTATTCTGAGGGTCATCAAAAAAAGTAGGAAGACAGGATCCATTGGGTGGGGGCCTTGAGCCTTTCACAACTGGAGAATTCTTGTTTTAACATTTACTGGAGATAGGCATGTGTCTCATAGACTGGGAACCATTGGATTGCAAGGTCAAGGGTCTGTGTGCCAAGAGCCCTTCTGGGTAGGCAGGGAGTGGGCTTGTCCTTATGGCTCCTCTCAGCTTCTCCTCTGACATCTGTTTTTCTCTCTCCCTGCCTGCCCTGTCCCTTCCTCCTGTCCATTACACCCCTCCACAGCTCCCTTCCCCGCTCCGATGAGAGTCGATACTGACAGCTGCTCCCTTTCCTCCCCCTTCCCAAAACCTGTAACCCACTCTTCCATCAAGATTTTTTTTTCTCTCCCTTTCTTGAACAACTGGGTTGCCAGGGTTCTAAATAGCCTAACATTTGTAGCTTTTCTTACCACAGAAGACACCCCACACTCCCATAGTACTCCATAGACACCCTGTTCCATTCCCAGAACACTCGGGCTCCTACTGACTCCCTAGAGAGGCACTCTTCTCTGCTTATGGTCAGACTCCAGACCACTATTAGAGCAGGTCCAAGGGCCTCCCCTGACATGGAAACCTTGGAGTGTCCTGTCAATGGATAATTCCCTCTAGTACCCATTGGTAGCTCTAATCCTGCATCCTGCTGCCACACAAACCTGTCCATTAGTCTGCTGATGCCAGACTGTGAGCAAGCTCTGCCCCAGAACAGTATAGGCTGACAAGACAAGCCTTGGCTTCCAAGCAGGGTCCTCCCAACATCACCAAACTCTTACTTTCCAAGTGTTGTGTAGATGTGTCAAATGTTGCTTTGGGGTCTCTACAGGGGACCCACAGACACCATCACTTTCCTAGGATAACCCAAGTCTTTGTCTTGACAGTAGATCCCAGCAAAGGCCCTAGAACCACTTAGCTGTGTCCCTGAACATAAGCCTGGTCCGTTAGATCCTGGAATCCCCTCTAACCTCCCTGCCTCCCTTTAAGTAAACTTGTGAGATTGTCTTGAGATGACATGGGGATCACCCTTCTGCTTCCCTTTCTCCTTTTCCTCCAAGAACCTCCGTCCCTTCTTCCATGTCCAGGGCATAGAAAGACCCTTTCTCTCCCCACCCTCTGAATGTGTGATGGTAGATCAGGTGCCCACTGTGTTCCCTCAAGTCCTTGGGAGCAGGACCTCCCTCTCCCCACATACAACTTCCTTCTCCCTCTCAGTGCTGTCTCAATAAAGTGTGGATTCTTCTGTTTTCTAAATTGACATTTTTGATGAAAAACAGCTTAAAGTGCCAGTGTGTTTTGTGCTTCACCTGTCCTCCTGGGTTTCCATACCTCCGCTCTTGTCTTCAGTTCTTAGGTCTGCAGAGCTCAGAACCCCCCACCCCCTTTTCAGGATCTGCCCTTCCCCCTCTGTATTGCTGGTTGTATCCTAAGAGTTGCAATAACTCTGTAGACCTTTCCATCCGCAGGGGAACCTTAGGTCCCCTCCCCCCCAGTGACTTCTACCTCCTTCCCCTAGCCAGCCCTTGATAAAGTGTTAAGATTTGCTGGGATCTTGGGATTCACTAACCTCAGGACTGTTTCTGGATTCCTCTCTTGCTCTTTAACTTCCTCATGTCTGCCCCACTAATCCCTCAGTGCTCTCTCAAGACAATTCCTACCTACTATGTGCCCTACAGCGTACCAGGCATGGTGGCAAATGGCCTTTAATCCCAGCTCCTGGGAGGCAGAAGCAGGCAGATCTTGATAAGAGTGTGAAGCAAGCTTGGTCTGTGTAGCAAGTTACAGTCCAGCCAAGGCTACATAGTGAATGAAACCCTGTCTCAGTAATAATAATAATAATAGTACATCAGTCTGTCATCTTCCTGAAGAGACAGCGTTTTCTTCCTAAATTTGGCCTTGCTATTTTGGTCTGATATTTCTTATATTTAAGGTAACCAGTTTTTCAAACATCAGGATACATGGCCCTACAAGCTCTTTGTTTCTTTTTCTTTTCTTTTTTCTTTCTTTTTTTTTTTGTATGCATGAGTGTTTTTATAACATAATTGGATCACATCACCCCACCACCCCAATAAAGCAACACAGCAGAGATGTGTCAGAAGATCTTGAGGTACAAAATAAGCCCTCTCCTACCTTTGCTGGAAAAAAGGCTTTGGGTGACAGCTGCCCTTCATTCTTGTCCCCATGCTATCCCTCCCTCCTCTCTCCTCTGACCCCTCCATGCCATCTGTCATCCTGAACCTCTTCCCCATCATCTCCCATTTCTTCTACAGGGGGACTCCCCCGGGGCTGGTAGCCCAAAGCTGCCACTACAGCCGCCATGGGGGACTCAGTACTTCATCCCTGGGTAGAGGTAAGTGGTCACTCTTCTTTATTCTCCAACCAAGTGGGTCACACACACACCACTACAGTCTCCCCAGATGCCTGGTATTTCCACAGGCAACCAAGAACTGAAGCAGGGGGAGCAGGAAGCAGAGGATAGGTGAGGTCCACACTTCCCCCTAACAGCTGCCAGCACCTCTGACATACTGCCTAACATTGCTCTCACACACTTCCTTCTAAGTGTGAACTGGGTAGCAGTTCCCACACTTCTTTCTACCTAACATCGTATAAGCCTTCTTCCTTGTGGGTTGAGCTCTGGTGCTTCCCTCCGTCATGCCCTTAAGTTTGGACACAGTGTGAACTGTCCCAGCCTTATAACCCAACAGGTGTTCTCCCATTAAAACTTAGCACCCTATGACCTCAAAGAACCTCTAATGGTAATTGGTGTTAGCTCTAACAAACTCACTCTCCATCTCCCTGCCCACCAGGTCACCCAGTGAGGATCAGGTCTTGTTACAGGATGGGTCTGGGGAGGAACCTATGCACTCACTTGTTCCAAGGGTCCAGGCTCCACCAGCTCAGCCCTGGACGGTAGGTGGGGACATACTCAACGCCAGGTTCATCCGAAACCTGCAGGAACGCCGCAGCACTAGGCCTTGGTGACCACTCCCCTCGCACTCTTTCCAAGTCCGTATTATTTCTCCCTCACTACGGGATATAGAAAGCTGTGCCCTCATAATGGATGCATTCATTCATTCATTCAACAGGCCTTACAGCTTCAGATCATTTTTATCATATTTTTAACGAGAGCAATAAAGTATTTATTTTTTATCACTATAGCCATTGAACAAAGTGACTTATCATTACTTCAACCCACCCACCCCTCATGCTCATTAAAGCATTCAACTCAAAGTCACTCAAGGTTTTGCTGGGCCAGCCAAGAGGCTGCGCAGGCGTTCTCGGAGCGCGCAGGCGCGCACCCGCGCAGCGGCAGCTCAGGCGGCTACGGGCCCATACTGCGCAGGCGCACGGTGTCTCCTTCTCCCTCCCTCGGCCCCGGCCCCCTCCCTCCTTCCCCATCACGAAGCCGGCCCGGGGCGCACCGCCCAGCGAGGAAACGGGACGCGGGAGGCGCAGAGCCTCTCAGCCTCGGAACACCATGTACCGCCCGAGCCGGGGGGCCGCCCGACGCCTCGGGCCCTGCCTCCGCGCCTACCAGGCTCGACCCCAGGTGAGGCGGAGGCGGCCGTCCGGGGGCGGACGGAGACCCTCGAAGCCGGGCGAGGGGCGGGGCGCCGGGCCGCGCAGGCGCAGTGGCCCCTGCAGCCCCTTCCCAGCCGGGCCGGCGCAGCACGCGTTAGGGGGCGCGGGGCTGGTGGAGGCCTGTGGGCTCAGGGCCAGCGGGAACGGGCGAGCCCGTTGCGGTACCGCTTCGCGCCCCAGCCTCCGCCGTTACCTGTGCCTGGAGGTGATTTGAAGGGCAGGCAGGACGGGGAGGCCGGAACTGCGGGCCTGCGGTGCACCTGCAGAACGGTCCTGCTGGCAAGGCTGGCCCGCGAACCGGTCCGGGCTCCACGGTGCTGGCCACGCCCCTGACAGGCAGGGAAGGCTCCCGGAGGGCAAAGCTAGGCACCAAGGTACCCCCGCCCCTGGGGTTCCTTGGCAGTCAAAGGGACTTGGAGTCAGTTTTGACGCAGGATGCCTGCCATCCTTGCAGTAACAACGTTAGTGACCGGAGGAGTTCAAGCTTCGACAGTTGGCCAGGATTATGTCATTCAGTGAGGCCCAAAATGATAAAAGTTTGTATTTACGTCCTACTTTATGGATGGTGAGGTTTAATGCACATTTATGTTCCTGTAAAGTCTCTGCAGGCCTCACAGTCCTCCATTCACAGGAAACCGAGGCGTAGGGAAAGAGTCCTGGAGGTTTCACCTGGATGTTCTTTGCCCTGCGTAGCTGTTTCAGAGTCATGAACACGTTATAAGTCACATCATTCCATCCATGATACCATAAACCGGTTCTTCATTCGTTCATAATGCATATTTTTAAAGGAATTTGTTTTATTGCATTGGTGGTTTGCCATTAGTGTCAGGTCCCCTGAAACTGGAGTTACAGTTGTCAGCTGCCATGTGGCTGCTGCGAATTGAACCCTGGTTCTCTGGAAGAGCAGTCAGTGCTCTTAACTGCCGAGCCATCTCTCCAGCCCCCATAAGATATATTTTTACAATTCTTAGAGTCAGAGATGCAAAAGTGGCTCCAAATAGTGAGGGATTACAAATGAAAAGGTACATTTCCTAGAGTTGGGGAGGGTGGCACCGGTACCGTTGTCCTCTTTCCCGGTGTCTTCATTAGAGATAGGATGAGCCTACCCCTACCTCTGGTAATTCTCCCTTCTACAAGTGCAGGTGGGATTGAAGCTTGTTAACAGCCCAACTTGGGTGAAGCATTAGACAGTCTTCAGATCTTTTTGTTTTTGAAACTAGGTCGTGCTGTGTGTAGTTCTGGCTGGCCTGGAACTCATCGGCAGTCCTGCCTCTGTCTCCCTACACCGCCATGCCTCGCTTAGACATCTGATTTTTTGTTTTTGTTTTTTTTTTTTTTTTTTTTTTTGTTGTTTTTCTTCTTTCTGTTCTCTTTCTCTAGGACCAGCTTTCTCCTCGGGCTCTACCATTCCCACCCCTCTGGCCCCATGCCACTCCACCCGCTTCTCCATCTTTTCCTATTCCATGGTCCCTCACACCCCCACACCCTCCCACCCACCCTCTTCCTCAGGCTCCTCCACGACCTCTCTGTCAGGTCCAGGCTCTCAACTCATTGTGGGTGGTTCTTCCTCTGGGAAAGGGGGAGGAGGGACCAGGACCTGAGTTGCACAATGGCTGTCTGGATGGGCTTAGGAGCCTTTTTGAGGGACCCCCTTGTCCCCACCCTGGGGCTTGGATACCTTTCCAAGCTCCTGGAGCTCCCCACCCTTCCCCTGTCACTCCATCAAGAGATCAAAATATGGAGGAACACCTGGCTGTCATGCATGAGAAACTGAGACAAGAGGTAAGCAGTTCATTGGTAGTGGGAAAGAGTATGGAGACAAATTAGTCAACTGAATTCCTGGCAACAAGAGGCAGGCATATAACTGTGCCGTGAAATATCTTCCTGGGGAAACGACTGTCCTTCTGTTTGAGTGAAGGACAGTTAAATTGGAGATGACCTTTCAGGTGGGAGTGGAAGTTAGACAACCCTAAAAGTAGATAACTGAAAAATAAGCCAAACCGATGACAGGAGGTTGGGGGGAGAGGATACCAAGGTCAAGGCCAAATTGGGCTATACACCCTGCCTCAAAATTAAATTATGTGTATCCTGAAATGGGATTTTTTCTTTCGCACTGAGTTCACTCCATCTTCTTCTTCCCAGCTTCCTACCCTCTTTCTTCGCTCACATGACTACACTCTATATTCAATGGATGTGGAATTCATCAATGAGATCCTGAACGTTCGCACCAAGTGAGATTTGGGGCAAGGGAGGGAGAAGAGGACCCAGTGCTAAACACGAGCCTTGTCTCAGAGAAGGTTCTATCTAGGCTGCTTGAGACTGACTCTTACCCACTCCTTGGACAGAAGCCAGCTTGGCTTCCTTAGTTCTGCAAGTCCTGATATTCCTGTCCCTTTGATTCTCACAGGGGCCGTACATGGTACGTTATGTCCCTGACCCTTTGCCGCTTCCTGGTTTGGAACTATTTTGCACAGTTTCGGTTGGAGATTCTGCAGCTGACCCGCCACCCTGAGAACTGGACCCTGCAAGCCCGCTGGCGTCTAGTAGGTCTGCCCATACACATGCTCTTCATGCGTTTCTACAGGCGTGATAAAGAGGATCTTTACCGGTAAGAGGGGGCCCGGAACTGCAGTGGCTTCCCTAAAATTATTGTGTTGAAAGTTGGTCATCTTGTCTTGATTTGGCTGTAGTTTTCCTGAGA